TGGCCGCCGCCTCGCTGCGCCGCGGGGAAAGAGCGCGGGATTGGAGGGAACAGGCAGGAGGCGCCCGGCAGGAGTAATTGCTGCAAATGGCCTCGGAGCCCGGGCGCGGCGCCCTCGTTGAAGTTCTGCCGCCGCGTTTCTAGGCCTTTACCGACAAGCCTCTCTGGAAACGAGAATTCATTCCCAGGCCTGGTTTTTGCTCCACCCAGTTAGAAATAGGTTTCTGAGACGTTTGCTGCTTTAAAATACCTACCAATTTGCTGTTTTTGTTCGAGTCTTCTTACGAGAGTAGATAATACCAACATTGCCATGTAGCTGAAATAATCTTCTGGAATTTAAGTGCAGAACGTGGGAAAGTATTTTTTAAATCTGGATAGGCTCTTGTTTTATGGATTTTTGTTTGAGGATTGCAGCCAGTTAAAATGTTCTTGTTTGGAAGAATTTCGTGTGACTTTTTACTTTTTTGGTTTTTTGTTACCAAGTGAATTTATCCTCGACTTGAAAAAATGAAATTAAATTCATGGTTTTAGGTTATTAATCTTTTAGCACGTGACAGTCTCTTCCACGTTAAATGTCTTATCATCTAGAGAGCACATGTGAGGCCGTTTAAGGACTTTAGGTGATCAAAATCATAATGTCCAAGTTAAATAGCAGTTCGTGTAATTTAAAATAAAACAATTTCTAAAAGAACCCACAAATTTCTGTTTGTGCTCCATTCTGTGCAGACAGTGAATACCAGACCTAATGTAAGTTCATACATGTTTTGTATTTTGCAGAAAGATCATTGATGGCTGTCATGTCTTAGGTTTGCAGGGAGAAATGCCGTTTTAGCCTAGGATTGTACACTTTAGATTGTTAAGAACTTAAATATCTCGCAGTTTTGTGGTTTAAAATGCTTGTTGGAGTGTAGATTGGGAGTACTTTAAATGGTATGGGGTGGAACACTTTTTCCTTAACTTCGGTTTCTTAGAAAATGATGTATCTATCAATAGAAACTTCTAAAATCTTTTCTGAGGTGCTTTTAGTTGTAGGTTAAAGAAAATATTGAGGGTTTTTGATTCTGGAATTCTCTTGTACTTCATTTTGGGTATAGTGTTAGCAGGTTTTCTTGGCACCGTGTCAAACCCTACCCCACAGGGTCTCACTATGTAGTGACCTGGAACTTACTATTTAGCCCAGTCAACTGGTCTTGAACTCAGCGATTCTCCTGCCTCAGCCTCCCCAGTGCTGGGATTATAGGCGTGCACTACCACACCTAGCTACCAAGTCAAATTTTAACTGGATGAAATGTTTGTTAACATGTATTTGATATTTTTATGGGTTGTTTCAGCTTTTTAGAAATTTCGTGTACAAGAATTTAAATGTATTGATTTTTTTTTTTTTTTTTACCCCCCTTCAGGGCCATGATCCAAAGGAACCAGAGCAGTTGAGGAAGCTGTTTATTGGTGGTCTGAGCTTTGAAACTACAGATGATAGTTTAAGAGAACATTTTGAGAAATGGGGCACACTCACAGATTGTGTGGTAAGTTACTAAGGGAGTAAAAGGGATCTTAGGAAAAGATGATCTGTGCAGGTGTATTTCAAAGCTTTAAACGTTTTATATTGCAGGTCATGAGAGATCCCCAAACAAAACGCTCCAGGGGCTTTGGTTTTGTGACTTACTCTTGTGTTGAAGAGGTGGATGCAGCAATGTGTGCCCGACCACACAAAGTTGATGGGCGTGTAGTGGAACCAAAGAGAGCTGTTTCCAGAGAGGTATTTCACTGGTATGTTGTATAATATGTGAAATTGTGAGTGGCTGGTTTTTTTGACTTAACATTATTTTATCTGTAGGATTCAGTAAAGCCTGGTGCCCATCTAACAGTGAAGAAAATCTTTGTTGGTGGTATTAAGGAAGATACAGAAGAATATAATTTGAGAGACTACTTTGAAAAGTATGGCAAGATTGAAACCATAGAAGTTATGGAAGACAGACAGAGTGGGAAAAAGAGAGGATTTGCTTTTGTAACTTTTGATGATCACGATACAGTTGATAAAATTGTTGGTAAGTAGCACTTCCTAGGAACTTGAGTCAGGAAACAAGTGGCTTTTCTTTTGAACAAAATTGGCTTGGTTACTCATGATTTTATTATTTGCTATTCTATACTGTGTAGTTTCATTTTTGAAGAAAGTGTCTACACCTGTGTAACCAGCATCTGGATCAAGAAATAAACACACTCATGCCCAGAGTCAACTGCCTTCTTGACAGTGTGTTAATGAGTTTTGTAATGGCAGGATATCATTTATGTATGCTTTCCCAAACATAAAATAACTTTTTTTTGTTTGTTTGATTAAAAAAATGTAGTTCAGAAATATCACACTATAAATGGGCATAATTGTGAAGTGAAAAAGGCCCTTTCTAAACAAGAGATGCAGTCTGCTGGATCACAAAGAGGTGAGTAGGATTGTATACACATATACAGTACATGGGAGTGGTGTTGGTATGGTTCTTAAAAATTTTTCTTCTTGCCTATATTTAAAGGTCGTGGAGGTGGATCTGGCAATTTCATGGGTCGTGGAGGAAACTTTGGAGGTGGTGGAGGGAATTTTGGCCGTGGTGGGAACTTCGGTGGAAGAGGTAAGATGTACTTACTGATTCTAAGCAGGTGTGTATCCGATGTTTAATGGCAAGCTGAATGTAAAATTTTAACTCATCTTTTGGATTTCCTCAGGAGGCTATGGTGGTGGAGGTGGTGGTAGCAGAGGTAGTTATGGAGGAGGTGATGGTGGATATAACGGATTTGGAGGTGATGGTAAGTTTTCTCATTAAGTGATGTTTGGTGTTTTGACTTTCTATGCCTTACTGAAACTTGACTATGTTGCACTAATTTTAGTCAACTTGAATGTGTGATGGTAAAAGTATACTTAAACTAGTACCACAAAAGAAGGAGCCTGCCTTGGAGATTGAACTAAGCTAGTACTTTTTGGCCAGTAAGATTTGATGAAATGAGTGGAGGTTTGATGTAGGAAGTGGAGCTAGAAGTGTTCTAATTTTCCTTGGTGATATTTTTGAAAATGATAATGAATTTTACTTTCAAGAAATAGCCATGTTAATTCTTAATAGCCAAGATTCTATTTTCTATCAATGATACATTGCCAAGCTTTAGAGGGTTTTTTGTTGTTGTTGTTGTTGTTGTTGCTGTTGTTGCTTTGTTTTTTGGGGGGTGGTACTAGGGATCAAACTCGAGCCCTTGTGCTTGCAAGGCAGGCAGCAGAATCACTGAGCCAAATCCCTGGCCCATGAGTTAAATCATTTCATTGGTTTGTTTGGTAGTATCTTAAGGGTAATGTAAAACCAGAATTCAGTATCTTGATCCTCTATACATTCCTAATTTATTGTTTGGTCTTTATTTTCTAGGTGGGAACTATGGCGGTGGTCCTGGTTACAGTAGTAGAGGAGGCTATGGTGGTGGTGGGCCAGGATATGGAAACCAAGGTGGTGGATATGGTGGTGGAGGAGGATATGATGGTTACAATGAAGGAGGAAATTTTGGTGGTGGTAAGCTTGCTTTATTTATTTAACATTTATAGATTTATTACAGACGTTTGAAAATAACTGGTTAACATATTTTTCTGTAATAAAAATACTCAAATGGAGCTAACTCAGGTTTTTTTGGCTGTTTAGTGAATTAATAAAATGTAAATTCTTTTGGTGGTAAAATGGGTATGTACATTAGGTTGTGTTTATTGGCAGAATTTTAGTTAACTGTTAGGCACTTATGGTTTTTTAAGACAGGGTCTCACTATGAGGTTGAGACTGACCTGGAACTCACTATGTGGCCCAGGCTGGCCTCAAACACAGCAATCATCCTGCCTCAGCCTCCCGAATGGATGTTAAGCACTTTTAAACTAGAAATTAGATTTGCAAATAATTTGAATACTCAGACTTGTTGAATTCGATGCCATCTGGCGTCTAGAATTAACAGTGTCAATTGCAGACTATAAATCTGACCCATTACTCTGTGGTATTATGGAATCAGTGAATTAAACACTAGCAGTTTTGATAGTGTTAGTGGAATGAAAGAACATAGGCCTTTATGCATCACATAAAGTTGGTGTGCTTTTTTTTTTTTTTTTTAATGAAAGTGTGCTTTTAAAATCCTGAACGTCTTAACAGTTATTTAGAAAATGTTTTTGGCAATCTTCCACTTTTGTTTCCTCCCCTTCTCCCTATGTCGTAGGGCAGCTAGGCCTCTGTTCAGTAGAGGCAGTTTGGTAGCTAAGATCTCTCTTCAAAGTCACATGGAAATGTTACAGAATATGATGCCATGATAGGCAACAGATTAGTAGTTACACAAATTGAAAGTAATAACTTCAGATAAACCACAAAATCTTTGATTTCAGGTAACTATGGTGGTGGTGGAAACTATAATGACTTTGGAAATTATAGTGGTCAACAGCAATCAAATTATGGACCCATGAAGGGGGGCAGTTTTGGTGGAAGAAGCTCTGGTAGTCCCTATGGTGGTAAGTAATTTCTTAAGTCAAAAATTTTCATGGCCATTTTAACTTAAAATTCTATATATGTTTGAAAATTCTGCATGTGTATTTCCAGGTGGTTATGGATCTGGTGGTGGAAGTGGTGGATATGGTAGCAGAAGGTTTTAAAAAAAAACAACAAAAAAGGGTAGGTATCTTTACATTTTTATCATGATGATAAAGAATATGTGGAACTGTTCACTGAGTGTAATAATTTTTTTATCCTGTATTATTCAACAGGCTACAGTTCTTAGCAGGAGAGAGAGCGAGGAGTTGTCAGGAAAGCTGCAGGTTACTTTGAGACAGTCGTCCCAAATGCATTAGCGGAACTGTAAAAATCTGCCACAGAAGGAACGATGATCCATAGTCAGAAAAGTTACTGCAGCTTAAACAGGAAACCCTTCTGGTTCAGGACTGTCATAGCCACAGTTTGCAAAAAGTGCAGCTATTGATTAATGCAATGTAGTGTCAATTAGATGTACATTCCTGAGGTCTTTTATCTGTTGTAGCTTTGTCTTTTTCTTTTTCTTTTCATTACATCAGGTATATTGCCCTGTAAATTGTGGTAGTGGTACCAGGAATAAAAAATTAAGGAATTTTTAACTTTTCAATATTTGTGTAGTTCAGTTTTTCTACACTTTAGTACAGAAACTTTAACAAAATGCAGTTTTGAAGGTGTTTCCTTGTGAGTTAACGAGTAAAGAAGATCATTGTTAATTACTATTTTGTATGAATTTTGCTAAAGTTAACTGTAAAGAAACACCTACTCACTTGCAGATTAAGGGGAATAAATCTATTCTCCCCATTTCATACCATGATACAAATGGGCACTGACATGTGGAGAGAATAGATAATTTGTATGTTTGCGATGTGTGTTTTAGATAAAATAGGATTGGGTATTTAAATTAGCATATTTGTGAATTTAATAGCATTAAGGTTACTTTCAAATGAAAAATCTCAAAATTCTTACTGGTTTTTGTGCATTTTCTTTCAATATGTAATCATGATTTTAGTGTGTTAGATTTGCCAAGTCCTAGCTGTGTTTAAAACATCTCCATTCTGCATTTACTTTGGTCACATTTAAACTGCTGCCATAGTTTTTGGGTGTAAAAAAAAAAAATGTCTGCTGCCCTCTATTTAAATTCTGGGAAAGGGTAGTGGATGTTTTCCCTCTCCCACATGGAAAACCATTAATTTTTTTGAGATACAGGACCACTAATTCTGTGTCTGAGCAGATTCAGATTAGTGGATACTTGGTTTTCTTTTAAAGCACACAAGAGGCCCAGTTTTTAAATCTTGAGTTACTTTCCTTGTTTTGTTTTTCTTTCCCCAATACAAGCTTTCAGAGCAAGAGAATAAATAAAAACCATGCATTGTTGAACCCCTAACTGGCTGGCATGCTTTCTCCTGTTGTTACCCTATAGGTTTTGCTGAATGAAACCAAGGATAGTTTAGATACAATTTTTCAAATCAATGCAGCAGAAATGTAGCACAGTTGCTTAGTACAAGCATCTCACTTCCCAAAGACCAGAATTCAAATTTGGATAATCTTCAAGTTCTTAAATTCCCAAAGAACACATTGTGTTACTCCTTGTGTATATTTTAACCTAAACCATGTTGGTGCGAGTTGTCAATTTGTTTGGAAGACCCTGGTTGAGAAGAGTTTTAGATTTAAAGGTCATATATATGAATCACTGTCTACTGTTTTGCGCCAGCTAGTGCTTACAGTTTCTTTCATTCACGCCCTAAATATGTGCCCTGCTGTTACTCTTTTCTTTGGCAGTTGAACATTGAATTCAAGATTTTTATTTGGTTTTAAAAGTACTAAGCAAAACAAGCAATAAAAAGGGGAATGGGGTGTGCTAGTGTTTGAATATGCTCTCTTGTTGCTCTAATTCTGTGCCTCTGTGCATTATTAATACTTGGATGCATGCAATGCCAGCATGGAAATCGGTCTTCATAGATTCTGCAGTTTTCCAGAAAACACTCACAAACCAATAAATGTAACAGACAACATTCCATTTGTTAATGGGCATATGTGAATAAGCAGTGTAGAAAATAGGCTAATACTAGAAAATGGTTAAGTCCTTAATAACTAAAAGTGTGGTTATATAAATGGACACTGTCAATGTTCATAATTTAAACCTTGGGTACCTGGTCAAAATACTGCTTGGGAAACATTTTATTAAAATTGAGCTAAATTGTCTCAAGTTCTTTTATTCATATAATAAAGGTTGAAGGAATGGGGGAGATTAACATTTTCTGTTTCTGTTTGTAAAATTGTCTGACACAACCTTGACAGTATCCTTTAATGGCATATGAGGTTAATTGTACTGTTATAACCAACTTTCTATGTTCTGGAACTAATAGTGAAAATATTTTCAGTAAGTTCATGTTTGCAACCTATAAGCAGGTGAAACCTGTGTATGTGACCTGTTTATAAGTTGTATTTAGCTTAGTTTGTGTGAACAGTGTGGAAAAGTAAGCCATGAGGAGAGCGATTTAACCAGCTTTAAAGGACCTAAGATGTGCTTTTTAAAGCACAGTGTGGATCAAAGGAAACTCACTAAGACAGGACTTCAGCAGCCTTTTGAGTATGGACAAGTCAGCATAAATAAAGAATGACAAGGCAGCAGCAAGAGCTTCAACTACAGAGAAGTGAAGGCATAAGATACTATGATGATAGTGAGCAGCTTGTCAAAAGCTAGTTAAATCTGCTTATTACAACTGAAATATCGAAGAAAGTAGCAGGAAGGAGCTCTTCGCCTTTTGGAACATCAATGAGAGATAGTTGCCACAGTTGCTAGGTCTAGCATTTAGACCTGCAAGGAAGGGCAATAAGCATTAGGTAAGGCTTGAATTTGAATTTTTTCACTAATTAAAGAATAATTTTTTGTAAAGCAAGGTAAGAGTAATCTTTCTGATTTGCAGGTTGAATGAGAACCCTACTTGCCTAAATGAGGAATGTCTTTCCTACCATCTTAAATACGAAGGTTTCTGGCTGGGTAAGGTTTGTAGCTCACAGTAAAACTTGACATCACTTATTTCCATATAAATCTATATTACTTAAAAATGAGCCCCTCTCTAGTAGGTACATTGGGAAAATTATCAGGCTGAAAACTACTGGTACCGTGTTTTGACACAGTTTAAACTTTAGGCCATTTTTTTGAATCCCCAAGAATGGCTTCTGAGTGTTCTTGAGTCACATGTACCCCATTTTATTCATGTATAGAACTCAGTATCTTTAGGGTAGAGTCAATTTTTGGTGAGGGAAAGTAACCTCAACTTTTGTGTGAAGTTTTTGTCATAAGCATGACTTAGATATGCTACTGGTTGTACTAGGAAAAACATCTTCAAGTGAACTTACATAATTACATCTTACAAATACAAAACGTGTCTTCATTCAAGTGGCCTCCTCAAACTCAAATTCAGGGAATTTGGAATGATGGGATGAATTTTGGTTTTGTTCATTTTGGTTAATCTTAACCAGATGTGGTAGGGGCCTGATCACACTATAAAAGGGTACCTTCCCAAGAGAATTACTTGGTTACTATTCATATCAGTTGCTGATCATAAGGGCTATTTTTGCTGCCCCAAAGGGCATATTAAAATTGAGGTTTAATTCACTTTTTAAACAAAGTAACACTTAGACACTTGAAGTACTAGTTTCTGTAAAACAAAAGGTTGAATCACAACTTAAAATTTCTACATATAATGTTAGCAAGACAATGGCCTTTAAAAAGAAACCAAGGTTTTAATCAAATTTCCTAAGACAGGAAACTTTCTTTTAAGGGTGTTCTGTTTCATTTCACTTGTGAAATAAAGTTATTTTATTTGAATGTAGTTTTGTTGTCATTTCTGGAAAGTGTTCTCTTAAGTGGTAGCACCAATAAGGAAAGTTGGAAATGCTTGAGGCAAATTTAAGTTGCTTTTGTTAAACTTGTAGTTCTCTGCTTCCAGTAATACATTTCCTAAAAAACTGAGTTTACACTTGCGTTCAAAAGGAGAGAATATTTGTGGTAAAATAATCATTTGTCAGGGAACTAATAGGTTTGGTTTTCAAAAGTTTCATGTAAGTCAAAATTTGCAGTATTTCTCCGGAATTTGAGGCAAGCGGCGGCACCACGAGCTAAATCCCCAGCCCCTTTTGGGAGGTTGGGTAATGTCACAAAAAAATAGTGCATAAAACATGATAATGTGCAGGGGTAATGTAAGGCCTGTCTTGAGTACTCACAATTTTAATGCTTCAATGTTTTCTGATTTGCAGAGGTGATCTGTAATGGATTCGAATGTTTCACTTGTGGTATAATGGAATGTTTACAGAACGATGACTTTTTTCATTAAAATATTTTTAGAAATGTGTGTTGTTTTGTCACTCAGCAATGTTCGTTTAAGTACTATATTTCAATGCTACAACTTTAGTAATAAAAACAGGAAATTTGGAGTGAGCATTTGTACAGTTATTTTAAAGGATATCTATTAACTGGGGGAAAAGTATAAAATATTTCAAAGTTAAAAATTACCACTACTTAGGCCTGGGGGTTTAGCTTAGTGGTTCGCAAGGACCTGAGTTTGATCCCTGTTACCAAAAACTACCACTTAGTATTTAAAAGGACATGGTCCTGAAGACAGATAAATGTGAAGTAGCTCTGCAGGTGTGGAGTCTGAGCCGTCTTCTGGGGAGAAGGGTAAACAAGGCTACGTGAAGTGGTTTCTTGAGAGGCAGTGGATTGGTTGAAAATGTTTTACAGTGAGGGTGAGTTTGAAGGTTCTGTGAGATTAGTGGACCCAAGATAAGCCCAAGTGAAAAGACTGGGGTAGTTATCTGGTAAGTTGTGACAAATTTTTTTTATGTCTGCATGTTTGTATTTCTAGTTTTGATAGCTCCTATTTACACATCTTCCGGTGGCTGCTCTAGCTGTGTGATTCAGGCTGGCCTTAAACAGCAATTGCCTCCTGAGTCGTGATCGTGCACCACACACCTGGTTATTTCTAAGTGACGGGCTTGTCAGTTGAAACCAGGTGATAATATCCTAGGGTGGCACATTTTGCCTGTTACTGGTTTCTCTAAAGGTTTCATCCTGTGCAGTTTTAAGGAAGTGTGTACCTTAGTTTAATGCGAGTGTCCTGAGCATGAGGTTCATTTCCAACATATGTATTTACCTTTATTTTCTCAGGATGAAAATAATTTGTTAAACTGCAAAATTTCAGGAATCAAGATAAAATTTGAATCTCCTGTGTATCCATCACAACCGTTAAGTTTCCTGGAAAAATTGAATCTTCTGTGTACCCATCACAGCCATTAAGTTTTCTGAAGATCACTTTTTTGCAAAAATTAGGCCATTACACATTGGGTCGATTTAATTTTGGATTGAATGCACCATGCTAACATTGGGAGAAAGCAATAAATGTGCCATTTTTGCTTATCACTGTTTCAAAGACCTAAACAGCAGATGGATGACAAGGGTACATGGAGCTACCTATTAAGGCAAAGTAAAATGGGTACAGGTCTGAAAGCTGACCAGGAGTTAGGAATTTGCCCATACAATTAGTTCCAGAGTTTACTGGTAAATAGTAAATCAAGTTATGCAGGTGGTTGACTGCTTTAAAAGGAAATGATTTAAGCTACATGTAAATGGCTGTTACAGTTTAATGGTTGAAGGGTTTGAGATAAAAGGAATTATGTTAATTAGCTGCATGTGGGGGTTGTAGGACAGTTTCCACTGGTACATTGTATCACTTGTCCTTTGTCAATGAAATGTATAAGCTTTCATCCTTTTAAGATACATAAAAATTCTGATTGCTTTACTTGAAGGTCTGCCATTTCATAAGTCCTGAAAAACGGGTTTTTAAATTTTTGCTTCTCAGGTTTAAATTCAGGAAAGTTTGGGGGATGAATTGGCTGGGGGTTCCTTAATCTTAGGCCCCTTTATGCAGTTTGGTAATGCCAACAGGCCCTTTAAAATGTTGTGTATAAGTACTACGTGTATGGTTTAGTAATATGTACTTCATACAATAAATGAGGTCTTTTTGAAGTTTCCCATAATAACTGTTTTGAACTAATAAAATCATAAGCATTGAGTACTAACTACTGTGGTTTGTTATCAAGAATACTGAAGGGAAGGGCCGGGGATTTAGCACACCGGTTCGGTGGTCTACCCTGCAAGCGCAAGGACCCGAGTTCAATCCCCAGTAACAACAACAACAAAAAGAATACTGAAGGAAATGCTGTATTTCATTTAATGGTAGGGAAAACTACAAAATCTTAAGATCTAAGCTTATCCAGACCCAAAACTTTAGAAATTTCCTTTTATAAAAAGAATAGCCACCTTCAGAACTAAAAGTTCAATGTAAAGATAAAAGAGCTTTTGGTAATGACTGTCACTATACCTAAAAGTTTTAATGGGTGACTAGATTTGAGATTTTTAGTTACTTTTCTCCATTCTCCAGTAGTAAATCACATGTGAAAACAAACTGAACTGACAGTTTTAATTTTGTGAGACACAGGGTCTTCTATGTAGTTCAGCCTGGCCTTGAACTCACTATGCAGCCCAGGCTGGCGTAAACTTGAGGCAGTCCTGCTTCAGACTCCCCAGTGCTGAGATTAAGTTATCTTGTGTGTTCTGAGGCCTGATCACATGGAAAAAGGGATGGCAGATACATTTGAGAGCCCCTACTCCAAAAATGGCTTAAGAACACTGAAGCCAGAAAGTAGGCTCTATACCCAGTAGTAATGCAATAAGGGTTTCTCACACTGCTTGGCGTTGATGGCCCAGGTTATACACTTACTCTGAAGAACTATACTCGCTTCCAGTACAATTTAACAGTTGACGGCTCCGGTTAGCCTGGGACCAGCTATAAAGCTAACATTGAAATGTAGACCAAGGGAAGTGAAATTGCTTTTATTATGAGTATGCTAGAGGTTTTAGTTTTAAAAAAATGCAGAAAAGTTGAACTTGGCAAGATTCAGATGAATAGAATATTCTGTACGCCAACAGTGCTCTCCTCTCCCAATTCCAGTTCCTCTGGGTGGGGCTGCTGTTGCCCTCAATTTTGACTAAGGAGTTGAGGTTATGTTGTGAGGTTGCAAAAATGAAGCCTCCAGAGACCCTGTCATCAGTCATCACTACCACTGCTACTGGAAAATTCCTTGACAGCATGAGATACTCGAGATATAAAGCATTTTCACATTTGAATCCTAGGCTCCGGTCCTTGAAGTAAGTTTCAACCCTGAGCCTTTCAGCCATCTGAGTCAAATTTTGTTACTGAGCTAGCTTGATTTTTTTCTTAAATGTATCACTATAAGGCCAAAGAAAAGGGGGTGGGTACATAATGTGCTCACCGAACTAGCACTTAATTCGATTTTATAGTCAGGAAACCAGTCTGAATGGTGATGTGAATTGATGAGGGCATCTAGGAATGGACAGCAGCAAATTCAGTCTGCTTTCAGGGCTGCTGGACCGCTACATTATATTGCATCTAGTGGACAGACTGAACCCTCGAAAGTGAATTACTTGTATATGATACCTATTTTGGCTTTTTCTTCCCTTTACCCAGGACTGAACTCAGGACCTTACTCCCCACCCTTGCTTTCTAAACTCAACCTTCAAGCTATAGGAACCTTTCTGTCTGGTGCCCCTGCTACCTAAAGTGATGAGTGAATTCCTGACAGCTTAGGTGTGGTTCTGTGCTGTGCCCCTCCCCACCCCACCATCCCTCCCTGGCTTCATTCATCCCCTATTGTCACCAGTCTGTGTCCTTTTCATCTAAAACAGGCTCCTTTGGGCTTCTGTCTTCTGTGATCTTAGAGGTATTTGGGGGGCGTTGTTCTTTGTGACACAGGGTCTCACTTTGTAGTTCAGGCTGGCCCTGAACTCATCATGTAGCTCAGGCTCCCAGCAGTCCTTCTGCCTCTGCCTCCCAAGTGCCGGGATTACTGGCACGAGTCGCCACGCCCAGCTAAGACTTTTTTTTTTTTACTGGGGATTTAGCTCAGGGTGAGGTAGACAGCGGAACCACTGAACTAAATCCCCAGGTCCCCGTGTTTTCAGAATGGTTTGCTGTTGCTAATATGGCTTCCTGTTTATAACTCTTATTTTGTTTCAGTGCTGCTTAAGGTCTTCTTTTTTTTTTTTAAGTCATGGGCCGTGCACACACTGGGCCAGCACTGTACTACTGAGCTACATTCCCAGCCTCAACATGTGTTGACCCTAATCCCCTTGCCTCAGCCTCTTCAGTAGCTGGGATTATAGGAATACTTGACTAGGCCCAGCACCCATCCCTACACTGGAATGCAAGTTTAGGGGGGGACAGAGATCTTTTTGTTTTTTAAAATTGAAAAAAAATAGCCAGATATATACTAAGTCCCCTTCTGTTGATCTAAATGAACGGTAGTCGTGTCAATGTGCAAACGTTTTCTTTGGTTGAGATATATTATACTTGCTTGAAGATAACTTGCTTCTTGATAACTTAATTTTCTAGGACCCTAGGACCATATACTTAGTATAAAATGCTTTTTAAAATTTCAAACAAAATACAAAAATGGATGACTGTCTGGAAATACTGTGAATAAACTCAATCTGAAGAAGTAATGTGTCATAATATTCCTTTATTAGTACCAGCTCTTAATTTTTTTTTGCCAGAACTAAGCAATTTAATATAAAAAATGCAATTTTTTTGTTGATACAGTATTTATAAAAAAGTACAGTGGTTAGTTTTCCATCAATTTGTAGCCAGATGTCATATCATATAAATCTATGAATGTAACAAGAACAGTATAAATAAGAAATTTTGTAGTATTTACACTTACACAGAAACAAGCCCAAATGGTGTCCTAAGAAATTAAAGTGAAACTACTGATTCAACGTAGATATTTTAATGCTTTTTAATGTTTTTTATTTTCTATACTAGTTTTGGCTATAATTTTTACACAGAATTACTTACAAAGTATTTTCTTGCATTTCACATCATAGTAGGAGCTTTTAGTATAACAGTACAAAAACCAAAAAAATAGAAAAGGCAAATCTTCCCAAATCTAGTTTTTCTTAACATCTGCCCTCTTACTTTTGGGAACAAGGAATACATTCCCATCTCTCGTTTGCTGCAGGGAGTATTCACTAGGAGAGTAAGGTTTTCCATCTTCATCACGTAGCATGCTGAAGACTTCGAGATACAAGGTGCTGAGTTGTTTTTTCAGTTGATGGAGGCTTTTGTCATTTTCTCCTTTTTCTTTGAGTAATTTTTCTTTTTCATCTTTTAAGTGGCCTAAATCTTGCTCAAGTTCTACTATATTTTCCAGTTTTCTTTTTCTGCAATTTTGAGCTGCTACTTTATTCTTACCCCTCCTACGTATATCTCGAATTAGTGCAACTTGAGCTTCACTGAATTGCTCTTTGGACATCATTTCATTGAAGTCATCAACAGGGAGGTTAATGATTTTTTCCACAGGGAATGGGATATGGAGAGCTTTTGCCCTAAGCTCATCTCTGGTGAGATGAGCCTCCAGGCGGCTTGAATGTTTGTCTTTTGTGAATGGGGTTTTTCGATGACCAGGGCTTACAGGTAATTCGTTCTTTGGTGTGTCTTCCCCCTGGGCGTCATGCACAGGAGCACTGTGCCCTCGAGATGGTGACAGAGGTTGCACGGTATCCCTTGAAGAATATACTGGCTGTGTTTTGGGACCATTGGGTTCGACACTTCCAGGGGCACTATCTAGCTCTTCCATGTCTGAATCACTGAAGCCAGGTGGTGGGTCTCCGTAGATGGAAGACGCCACTGAGTGTTCTGGTGATGCTATGCTGGCACTTGTGTTCAGTGAAATACCAGAGTCAGAGTCATTGAATTCTGCTATGCTTTCAGAGTGGTTTTTGTTGAAAGCTTTACAAAGTGATAGATCCGAAACATCAATGGTCCCATATAAAAGTTCAGAGAGCGACTGGCTTACAGTAGCAGAGGAGGGCATGCTGTCGCCGATAGTAGGTTCTGCTATGAAAGCAGAATAAAATTCATCACCAAAATCTGTATTTAATGTGGAATTTGAATTTAATGAGTTCACTGTCAGCTGGTTGGGATCTTCTGTGGAGAGGATGCTGCTGAAAGAATCCTCGAAAGCATTAAGAAACTCTGGACTGCAGCTCCCTACTACTTTTTCCAGTGAGGGGACTGATGAGTAGAAGTAATTGTTTTCAATTTCTGTCAGTTTAGATTCTGGGCTTGGAACCGTGGTATTCTCCAGCTTGTCATTTTCAATATTAAGACACTGTGTGGAAAAGAAGTCTATATTATATGACTCAAGGTTAAATATTTTTAATAGATGATAATCCGTATCTGTTGGAAACTTTAGGTAGAACTCTCCCCACCATCCCACTCTCTTTAAGGGTATTCTATGGTTCAGAGATAATTTCCATTACTAAGCATATGCATTATTTTCAGAGGTCCTAGTTTAGACCTGAAGTTTGTAATAGTTCTATTCTCAGATATCTAGCCCAGTTTACTCATAAAAGCGCATGTCAGCAAGCCGCGGGTGCTCTCATGACTAATTTAAAAGCACCCTCAAATCCTTCTCATAAGCAGATGGCATATAAATAATAAATAATCAGGATGACTAATTTAAAACCACTGAATATAAAATGGCACTGCAGTACTGTGTTAGATCTTACCTGTAATTCTGGAATGGAAAATAGCTCCTGCCAAATTTCCTCAATGTCTTGCTGCACATTGTCTGTGTCACCCATGGCTATCTCAAGAGGAGTTTCAGGTGACTGAGCCTGATTAGAAGCAGTGAAGACTGGGCTTTCAATGTGGCTGGGAATATCGGGAACAAGCGACTGAAATGTAGGTGAAGAAACCTAAAATTGACAAGGCATAAATCAGCTGTGGACAAGGAAGTTCCAAAGCACAATCATGACAGTTAAGTAGAATCAGCAGCAGTTCTGTATTTCTCTGCTTAGTTGAAGATGGATAAGAACAGTCTTTAGGAGTTAATTTGCACCTGTAATATCTAGTACAGTACTTCAAATACAACAGATTCATTTAAATTCTTAACAAGTCTTGGTTTTTTACTCAGCTTGCTCTTACCAGAAATTTTTAAACACCCATAACAAACGAGTTATTTCCAGTTATGCTGATCCATGACTGTGTAACAGGAATGGTATGTGATTTTGTATTGTGCAGTTTAAAAAAACAATTGTAAAGTATTATCTACTAAGGTCTCCTTGAGAGAATAATTCCTTGATAAAAAATTTCCTTCTGAAATGTTTCATTCTTTCTTTTAAATGGAGACACATTAAAGGGGTTTATATAGGTAGGACGTGTTCAGTGTAGGAAGTTTTGCTATTAACCAAATGTTTTATACCTCATTGTCATCTACAAATGGGAATGTCTCTGCCAAAAGCTGCATGCAGTCATCGAAGTACAAAGCATCTGGTTTGGGAATGTGGGCAACCTGGATTAAAGGGGAAGGCATAAAGGAAGAAAAAAATTGTTAAATGCTCCAGTGCCAAGCTAACTATTCACGACTGATGTGAAATTTATGATTAATATTCACAGAATGTATTATTTTTTAAATTTCAGAAATCAGCTTGATGCACAGACTCAAACCAGGCTACCTCCCAATTTTATTTTTATTTTCCATGCAGTGCTAGGCATTAAACTCAGGGCCTCATACATGCTAGACAAGTGCTGCATCCCTGAGCTAAACTCCCTGCCCTCCCTAGTCATCTGGGCAAATGAACACTGAGTGATCAGTTGCACATCTGTGGATAAAACAGGAGTAATGGTGCCTAACTTACACAGCAGTGTTGACTAAATCAGTTAATATATATATAATTAGAACAGTGCTTAATACAATATTGTAAGCAGCGCCCACTATTAGTTTTACTGTTTGATCCTAATTGTATGTTTCTGTAATTTACAAAGCCTTTCTATGTGATTTATGTCCTAATTTTTATAATAATCCTGTAAGGTAAGTAGGTTGGGTATACAAGTTAACAGGATGAGGTTGGGAAGTTAACTTGACAAGATCACAAAGACACAGTAAAAGACAGAGCTGGAATTCAAATCTAGATATTCTAATTGTTGGTTAGTGTCCCCTTAAACCCTGCCATACACTTGCCCAAGAACTGAGCACTCTGTACCTGGGAATAGTTGGCAGATCCACTGGTTTCTGGCTGGATGTGCTGGGCTGGCTGAATTGGGAGGAATTCACCTGTCTCTTCATCTAGTTGCAACTGAGCGAAAAAGGCTTTCTCTTGCTCCTTTTGGAGTTGTTCTTGTCTTTCCTTTTCGAGTTTTTTCTGTTTTTCCAGCTCATACTCCTTCTGTCGCTGACTGAAGTCAAATACTTCTCGACTTGCCCCAAGATCAATATCTTGCCTCCAGAGTATGTCAATCAAATCCATGTCCTGCATTTAAAACAAAAAAGAAAGGTCATGGTTAAGATAGTCCACATAGTTTAATTCCCAGTATGCCATTGTTAACAACTGCAGAGATGACAAAGAAAATCTGATGGGCTGGGGATTTAGCCTGCCTCGCAAACCCAAGGACTCGGGTTCGATCCCCGGTGCCAAAAAGAAAATCTGACAGAGAACACAAGTACAATGTTATAAAGAGCACCATTAATTCCACTCAGTGAATCTACTCACCAAAGGAAAATGTCTAATGGAAATGATTGAAGTTATCAGTGGCAATCACAGCAAGAATTGATTTGTTATTTTTCCCCCTTTCCCTTCCCACCAAATGACATCTGAGTGCTTCAGGTGGTTTTAGCTATACATTTTAATTATTCCAGCTACCCTAGTATACAGCTAATGATCAAATGATACATGAAAAATATCTCACCATACATGTAAACTATGCAAATGTTTTATATGTTGACAGAGGTGAGCTACTATGGGTGAGACCAGACTCTAGACTACTGGACAATAAAGCTGTGAATCTAACTAGTAGGAATTATCTAGACAGAAAAAATGGACTAATTAACTTTTTCCCAAATCCCTGTACCATCGAAGCAATGAAGCTGCTTGGTCCTTCCTCAGGATAGATCTGAACAGTTTTTATTTACGAGCCATGTGCAATGTGTTTTTTAAAAAACGACTGAGACAGGGTTTTAGCTGCCTACCTCGCAAGCGCAAGGTCCCAAATTCAATCCCTGGTACCAAACAAAACAAAACAACAAAAAAGACTGAGACACCTTAATAAAAAGCAAATTAAAGGATGTAATTCTGACGAATAATGTTGGTGGCCATGAGAAAACTGGGTACCCCATATACATTTACATACACTTTGCACACAATGTTAATACCCACATACCCAGTACTCCTTCAGTAGCCACTCAATTCCTGCTATGACTCTCTCCAAACCAGTGTTTTAAACTTCACATAACATCAAAAACTGTCAAACAAAAAACCAAAAACTGAAAAAAACTTCATATAACATATTGATCAGAAAAGGACAGCTCGATGAATCCTTATCAACAAAAAGGAAAATATAAAAGGGACCCTTAACTTGGGTCAGCTCTAGAGCACCCTCCATCTGAAATAATGCCAGGCCCTGGGAGATTTTAGTGGCTCTCATACCTAGCTTTCCATTTCCACTAGGAAGGTCACCAAAAAGTGTTTCAAAAGTGACCACACCTAATTGTTCTTCATCAGGCTGGGAGCATTCCATGCAATCATAATAGCACCAACATAGGTTTCAAAATGTTCTTTGAATTCTTAAAAACATGTTTTTTGTTTTTATTTTTGTTACCAGGGACTGAACTCGGGTCCTTGAGCTTGTGAGGCAGGTGGTGGAACTACTTAGCTAAATCCCTGGCCCTTAAAAATATTTCTTAATCAAATTTAGAGTACAGCAACAATAGTTTTCTTGTCACGGCCTTAATATATCATACTGTGTCACTGAGATTTTCTTACACTTCAAAAGGCAAATGCTAGCAGAGATTTGACATTGTATGAAATAGTCAAAGCATCATGTGGAAAAAGAATAGCAGAAGCCTGTTAACACCAGATGTGCCTGGGAGGCCACAGGCAAGTGCTGTGTTCTGTGCTGACCAAACAGGCAATGAGCACTTCCTGTGAGGAGCCATGTGACCCAGCGCATGACTTACTCCACACACCACCCAGCTCTCCGCAAAGCTGCACACCATCTAGGAGGAAATAATAGGGCAGAACCCATAACAAACAAGAACATGACACCAGACAGCAGGGAAGGGAACTGCCTTAGCAAACTGCTCATCTGCGCAGAAACCTCGGGTTTTGAAGATATGCAGCTGTTTGGCTGCCTCCAAGTCCCCCAGGAAGACAGCCACAGTACACAACGTGGCTGAATTTGGGGAAGGAGAAAAGAGCAGGGGATGGTTTCCAACATTCCAACAGGTATTTCCTACCAACTGGTGACAATGTTTCCTAAGGACACCCAAGTGTCGGCGGTGAGTCTTCCTGTAGCATATGGCACAAATGTTGTCTGGCACTTAGGTTCTGAGTTTTTGTTTGTTTTTGGCCTTTAGCAGTTCCAAGTGTGTTCCCAATTATGTTGCAAGCTCGGCTTACACAAAAGACAATTTAGTAAGAAACACAAATGTTGAACAATTCATGTTCATTCAGCATCTAGTCTAATGGAAATGTTCATATTTTTAAATGTATACATCATCATTTGCCATCGGGTAACCTGGCACAGGTTTTATGGGAAATCTGAGGTTGGACAATTAACTCATGCCACTTTAAAACAAACATCTCTGTACTGGTATAAATGAAGAAGAAAGGCCTAGAACACAGAATCCATAATAAATATGTTTTTTGAAAACCAATTTGAATACTTCGAACAAACCAGCATTTATTTTGTTGAGATGATCCAAAAAAATCAGAAAAAAATAAATAAATAAAGATAACATGGTCCCTGCTCTAAATTAAAGCTATTTAGTAAGTGGAGATTTTAAAATCGGATTTGAAATGAAAAATAAAATGGTATCTTCTGTTTGTGTGTAAATGAGGCTTGCACCTCCTAAACCCCTTTCCTTCTGAGAATGGATAGGAAGATGGTAGATTTTCTTCTGAGAATAAATTACACTAAATAAACCTCTTTAATAAGTTGTACATACTACTTACTAAGCAAAATAAGAGACAGCATCTTAGGTTATTCCTTCTTAACTCATACATTTCCATTAAGAAAAAAAAATGAAACTTCCAGATTATCCCCCTAAGATACTCTTTCATCCAAATATTAATTACTAAGATTCAGAATTTAAGTTATACCTCGTGTTTTTCTTTCATTTCATTCTTTATACTATGCCCAGATTGTTATTCACCTAAAAGTTAAATCTGATTCAGTTTTTTAATTTCATAAACACTGCCAAATATTTTTTAACAAAACTAGACAAAACATGAATCATATTCTACTGTCTAGAGATATTAAGAGCTATAGGAAGCTATTAGCTAACACAGTAAGAACTATATGCAGCTACAAAAACTGAGGGCATGCCTGAATTTTGAAGAATTCATTAGACAGCAAACAAGATTTCCTTGATTTACAATGTTTTACTTTGGAGTCAGAATTTTTACTAAATGAGACCAAGCAGTTTTTTTGGGTTTTTTTTTTTGTGGTATTTTTTGAGACAGGGTCTCACTATGTAGTTGAGACTGAACTGGAACTCACTATGTAGCCCAGGCTGGTCTCGAACTCACAGCAATCCTCCTGCCTCAGCCTCTCAAGTGTTGGGATTACAGGCGTGCACCACCACGCCTGGCCAAGCAGATGTTTTTAAAATACATTTTGCTAATAACTACTGTACTTTTTAAATATTTATCCAATCAGTATGACACATGCTGATACTGGCAGCACAAGCTATACAATGCAATTTGATTGTTCAACAGATCATTCTTTAAACTCTTCCCACCCTCCATTACTTTTGATTTTACTGGATTGATTTGAGCCTAACTCTTGACTGAATTAGTTGATTAAAAATACAGAATGAACCACTGGGAGCGGTGGTACATGCCTGTAATCCCAGCATTGGGGAGGCTGAGACAGAAGGACCACCATGGGTTCAAGACCAGTCTGGGCTACATAGTTCAAGGTCAGCCTGAAGTGCGTCGCGAGACCCTGTCTCAGAGAACCACCACAAACAACAAAAAGTCCCCCAGAATGATTAAAAATACAGACTAACTGCTGGACATGAAAGGGACCTTACATGAAAGGGACCTTACAGCCATCTAAGCCAACCAGAATGTTGCTAGATTTTTATCTGTTAACTATCAAACTGTTTAAACATCAGACACTCAAGTATTAAGAGTTACAGTATCACTAATTCAAGCTTTCCTTCTAGAGAAACCCTACTAAGGATTATTTTCTCAATCTTCAACAACTACCATTTTTTAAACTACATAAAATTTCCCAAATAGACATCACTAGAAAAGTGATTCAGCAGCTTAAAAACTGCAATCACCAATGTAGCACTGCCTGGGGCAAAGAACCTGCACAGCCTCCTCCTTAGACCTGACCACTGGCTCCATTCTAGGCAAGTACTGTATCACCAGCCCGCATACCAAGCCCCCATCCAGCTCTTTTGTCTTTCAGCTAGAAAGTGGTCTAGTTTCCTCACAGCCTGGGCGGGTTACAAGGTACAGACATTTTCACAAGCTGCTTCCTGTTCACAAACCAGTTTCTCAGCAATGACTCAAACTAGGAAATATGATCCGGCCAGCTTACTGGAAATCTTTCCCATTGTGCGTAGCTACACACTGCAAGGCATGATGCAAAAATAAAGCAAAACTGGAAAGTGAAGACTGTAAAAACTTTAAAGACAAATACGTAGTTTCATCGAAAAGAAAGGGGAGAGGAGAGTTCAATTTCCCGAACAGTAGGTGATCCCAAGTCCTGTGAAATCTGCATGGCTCTGATTTTCCATGAGGCTCCACAGGCGGTCCCAACAGTTATTCTCCGGTTGTTTGTAATGGAGCAGGACGCTGCTGCTGGGCTCCGCAGGGGTTATACAAAGGTGGTCACTACTTTGCCAAGAGAACGGTTTAATCTGACAACCTTTAAGATTTGGTTTTCTAATCTCTTCCCCACTTACACGTGAGCCATGTGTATTTGGTTCTGAATGCAGCCTTCCACACAGGAAAGCCAGTTCTCTCCTCTCTGACAGTCACAGGGACCCTACAGGAAACACACTTGCACACCCACATAAATAACAGAACCCTGGGAGACGCTGGATGCATCTCCCTAGCCTACTTCACCTAACCTACAAGTAAATTACCTAGAGGTGGACTAACCAAGTGGCTCAGATAACCACCTTGAGGTCATATCGCTCACTGTGGGTCCCCCTGGACTTCCTCCTACCAGGGTAACCCCTTGAAGGACTCAAACCACAAAGGTTCTTTACAGAAACTTTACAGAAACCCTAACC